AGATTTTGACATAAAATAGAGGTCCAGAATAGTTTTCTACATTTTTCTAGAAATTTTTAAGGTTGGCTGCGAAAATAGATTCTAGGGCACAATACCCAAAACAAAAAGATTTGTGAGAAGAGAGATCTACTAAGGGAAAATTTTCGTTTCTTTTGTGATAAAAACATGCTAACTAACATATATTAAACTCAGAAAATTTGCTTGAAGGTGTGCCTTTGGAAAGTTTGAGAGATTGGTATGAAAAAGATAGTTTTGTACCAAAATGAGGGAAACTACAAGAGAGGTAGGATCATGACTCAACTCTTATCATTTTTAACACAAGGAAATTATTAATAACACATCTGAAAACAATGTTTAGAACCCTTAAGAACATGTATTTGAAAAAGGAAAATGAAAGAGAAGGTTGTGTAGTGGCTTACATGCTAGGCTTGAACAAGAGTGCTCTCCTCTTCCTTCCTCTCCCTCTCAAGACTTCTCTCTTGCTCTCCTTTCTCTCCTTTAGGCTGAAAGTGTGTGGGTGTGTTTTGTTTGTGTATGCCATGCTAGGGGGTGGTGGTATTTATAGGCAATTTTGGTGTAAAAAGACATAAAGGCCCACTAGTTGGATTGGATGGAAAAGTTTGGATTTACTTGGAGTCTAATGGGATAGGGAGTGATTAGGGAACTTAATCATGGGTTTAGACAACATCTAGTTGGTCTCTAGTTGGAGTGAAACTAGTGTTGGGAACAAAACCCTAGGTTTAGGGGTACTAGGTCCTAGGATTTCTAGAATATCATAATTGAAAATTTCTTGAAAATAGGCCCCTCACAATCTCCTAGGGTGGCCAGCCATTGGGAAGGGAGATGGGGCATTTTTTTATTCAATTAAGGTACTATGGACACATTTCCCAAAGTATATATATGTATAGATCTCAAATTGATTGATGGTACCTATAGTATAAAAGTACATGTACTAGTTTTGGGGCAATTCTTGAAATTAATAAAAGAAGTGAGGGCTTGGAATTAAACTCATGTATTGGAATCTTACTTATGTAGAATTAAATTAAATTAGGCTAAGGAACCTAATTTGGCTAGGATATTCCTATTTCGATAAAAGTAAAAATAAAAAAAAAATGCTAACTGACAAGATTCGAAATAATTCAAGAAACTGATGGGCTTTAAAGAAATAATTCAAACAAAAGGGTTTTTAAAAAAGAGAATAAAATTTTCGGGGGCTTCACACACGTCATCAACATCGAGTAGTACAGAGGGCGGAAAGATCACAGATGCAACAATTATTGGGGCAATTGTCGATTCAAAATTATGTTGAGTGGCATCGATGTGATGATAGATAGATGGTGACTGACTTGTTCTGGGCACACCCAATTAGTTTGGAGTTATTACGTGCATTTCTACATGTGTTGATTATGGATTGCACATACAAGACTAATAGGTATCGACTCCCTCTCTTACAGATTGTTGGGGTAACATCAACGGACTTGATTTTTTCAGTTACTTTTGCTTATCTTGGTCATGAACGGGAGGACAACTATACATGGGCTTTAGGCGTATTGTGTACTGTTATGGAGAATACTATTTTTCCAAAAGTCATTATTACAGATAAGGAGTTGGCTTTGATGAAAGGCATAACAAAAGTTCTACCTATGGCCACAAATCTTTTATGTAGAAGGCATATTAGCAAGAATGTTCTGATGAAATGCATGAAGGTTTTTTAGACGAAAGATAAATGGGATAATTTCATGTATAGTTGAAGTGCTTTGGTATTGGTTAGAACAGAAACAGAATTCAATGAACAATTTTCTACTATGAAGACTGAATTTAGTACGTATCTTGAAGCTATTAAGTATGTTACTTCCAATTGGTTAGAGCCATACAAGGAAAAATTTGTTGCAGCTTGGACAGATAGTAATATGCATTTCGGAAATACTACTACAAACAGGTAAATTATGGTCATTGCATTTATGAATTGCTATAATTCTTTGATTTTTATTTTAAATACCAAAATATACAAACTTGTAGAGCGAAGAGTTCTCATGCTAAATTGAAGAGGCAACTTGGATCAAGTCAAGGCAGTTTTGAGACATCTTGGACCAAAATACACAATTTGTTAGAGTTGCAGCATGCAGACATTAAAGCCTCATTTCAGCGGAGTTTGATTGTAGTCCAACACAACTACACACCTACTGAGTTCACTGAGTTACGTGGTTTTATTTCAATTTGTAGTTTGGACAAAATATTAGTAGAGTCAAAGAGATCGAATAGTGTAGGAATAGATGTTGCTGCATGTGGCTGCATTTTGAGATGTACACATGGGTTGCCATGTGCACATGAAATAGCTGAGTATTTTCAACAAGGTCAACCAATTCCCCTCTCATGCGTAAATTCTTATTGGAGGAAGTTAGATATGCTTCCAGTTTCAGAAAGTGCTTTTGTGAAGTTAGATTGCAAAACAGAGACTGATTTTTTTATTGAGAAATTCCAAACGATTAACGAGACATAACAAGTGATCATTCTGAAGAAGTTAAGGGAGTTAATTAGTCCAGACAGTACATTTTTTATAGAACCTGAACTCATGACTGACACGCAAAGAATGAGCTGAGGTCGCGGCTGTGGTCAATTCAAAATCGATACGTCTACTAAATGCGAGCCATATGTGTTTGAGTTTGTACCATTTGGGGAAGATAGTTATTCACAGGGTGTTACCATCTCAACTGCACCAATTCGTAAGCAAATGCAACAGAAGAAGGCAAAAAAAGATAATGTACGTAATTACATAAAACTTGTAACTATGTACAAAATATATTTTAATAGTTTTCCAACCTCATTTTAATTATTTCATATATCCATTGTTGTATATTTGTGATGTAGGTTTGTATGACGCAGTCAACAAATCATATCTCTTACTTCGAACAATTTCCAGAGAAGTTGAGACCATATATCCGTTACATAAAAGATGTACAAGCAGATGGCAATTGTTGCTTCAGGGCAATAGCTAGATTGATTGGTTTAGGTGAAGAAGATTGGCAACAAGTTAGGCGCAACTTGTTGACTGAATTGTATTCGAATGTAGTGCACTACGTGCAACTATTTGGTTCACAAGAAAGGGTTGATGAACTTAACTCTATCTTATCCTACTTCGAACCTAGCCCTGGATTTAATCATTGGATGACTATGCTTGACATGGGCTAATTGATAGCATCATACTATCGAGTCGTTCTTTACCATTTATCCATGCAACAATGCTTGATGTTTCTACCACTTAGATCAGTACCGATTGCAACACTTGATCGAAGAGATATCTGTATAGGATTTGTAAATGGAAACCATTTCGTACAGGTAACTACCAAGCCTACTTACATCATTACCATGTTTTATTTTGTAATTATATTTATTGATTTCTTTGTTATAGGTTTATCTGCAACCTGGTCATCCAGTACCTCCGATAGCAAATAATTGGATTCGTTTTCATCATCCGTGTGCTATTGCATAGGAGAAAGCATATACTATTCGTATTCAGCAATTCCGTACTCTTATCAGCCCTGACGTAATAACTACCGAAACAATCGATATAGAAGAATTGTGAAAAGATGTTCGATTGATGGATGCAAACAATGACAGATTTTATGGATGCTTTTATGGATATTCGTACACTTGATTTTGTTATGAAATATTTTATGGAAACTTTTTATGTTTGATTTTATAGCTACGTGTTTGATTTATGGATATTTTTTATCGAACTAGATTAATTTAAATTCGTTAACATTCTATTACCGAACAGCCCCAAATTATTATTTATAACAAAGTGGCTCTGTAAATGTATAGCAACAGAACGCTAAACAATTATATTTTTTCCAGCAACATAACACCGGACAAATGTAATTTGTCTACTATTGTGTGACTGAACAGACACTTCATAGTGGGCTCCACTGACTTTGTTACGAAGCAAAATGAAATTCTCCAAGTGTATGGCAACATAATGCTAGGAAAAACTAGTTTGTCTGGTAACACAACACTGGATTAATTAAAATTCACTAGCATTTTATTACTGAACAGACCCAGCACAAATTATCATCACATCATTTGGGAAGAAATGGCTCTGTAATTGTGTAGCCACAAAAGGTTGGACAAAACCATTTATTCCGGCGTTATAGAACCGAATTTTTGTAAATTGTTTCGCATTGTGTGACCGAACAGGCACTTCAATGTGGACTTTACTGGCTTTGTTGGGAAGCGAACAAAAATTATCCAATTGTACGATAACATAGTGCTGGGAAACAAAATTTTATCCGGTAACATGGAACTAGAGTAGTTCAAATTGTTTAGCATTGTATTATCGAACGGGCCCAACACAAATAAAAAAAACATTGTTTAGGATAAAGTGGCTCTGAAAATATATAGCAAGTAAATGCTGGAGGGCTCTATTGTTTCCGGCAACCGAACACCGGGATAATTCAAATTGTTTAGCAGTATGAAGCTGAACTGGCCCATAGCACTGAAAAAAACACTTTAATACCATTACAATGTTACTTCCAGCAAATGGTACCATATCCCTCCAAAATACTTTAATGCCATTACAATGCATTACAAACAATAACAAATCCATATGTTTGCCAAAATAAATTTCAATTCACATAAATATTGAATACAAAATAGAAGTGAAACTGTTTAAAATTCTTACAAAAGTATGACAATTCATTACTTGTCCAACCAAGCATCCAGATTACAAAAGATCAAAGGCATCCCCAAAAACTATGCCATTAAGGAAAAGTATATCCCAAATTCTGTACGGCCTAGGCATTCACAAAAACTATGTCATAAAAAAAAAAAAAAAACTAGATCCCAAATTCTGTACGGGCTACGCTTTCACAAAAACTATGCCGTCAAAAAAAAAACTACATCCCAAATATCAAGTACGGTTAACACAAAACTATATCCCAAAATGTATACGGGCTAAACATTATGAAAAATTATGTCATCAAACAAAAAGTAGATCTCAATCCTCATGTACGGTCCATCCTACGACGTTTACGATAGTAGACTTGATACTCTGTACATGTCGAACCAGATCCCAAACTCTGTCCATCAAGAACTTGCAGCATGCGACCAATGGTTTCATATAGCATGTCAGGGTACAAGACACACTCATCACGACCGAGCCTATGGACTGCAGCACCAACATTGAAAGCAGCATCATTACACTGCAAAAAAATTGATAAAAATTGTACTTAGTGTTTGATTTATGGTGAACCACTTAAAAGTGAAAAAAGGTAATTCACAATTTGCTTACCCACTTAGGATCCATAGTAACATCATTCTCGGGACGTTGAACACGTATATCAAACTAAGAGTGATGTATAGGATTTTGAACAACCCGATGTGAAACACGAGCATACCACTCACGATATCCCCGTACACATTCAGATGGCCGCTGTTGTACAGGCACACTACGAGCATTAATGGACAACTCATGATTCTCCAATTGCGCTCATATCGTGTCCTGGTATTGATACATGATTCTATACTGTCCTGGTTTACTGCCCCGTGTAGCTCGAACAGGAGATAATGGTTCTGGTGGGATGGTTTGAACCCTACCAAACTGTCGCAAAACCCTATTGGGATGATAGAGTTCAACAATATCAAAGCATTTCAAACATCCAGTATAATATGCAACCACATGAAGTGGATGGTGTGTCCTACATAAACGATATGGATCCCACTCGATCTACAAATAAGGAATGCATAATGTTAGTTAGGAAATCTTTTTTTTTTTTTTCAATATCACACTATTATAAAATGTCTAACCTCATTAGCACGTAACATGTCAAGTTGCTCTCGTAATGTCTGCAAGTGGTCTTTTGTAAAACCTTTATCTCTCCGCGGACTCCAACAACACACACGAGGTTGTTCATCAGAATAGGACAAATTTAGATGAGGCCTTCCTAAACGAAAATGCTTATAAATCCATGCTTCCAATAGCTTCAAGTAACCAGCAATCTGCTTAACACCAGCCCTACTAGCAAGTCCTAATTGTCTATACAGGAATACCAAAGCTGCAGCACCCCATGCATATGAGCTAATAGCATCAATGTCAGTTAACATGTGCAAGTAAGCAACAAGTACCTGAGTCCCACTCTTGTCAGTGAAGAGGGTACAACCTAATAAGTATAGCAAGTAAGCTCTCGCTACGTATTCTATGAAATTTGCATCATCTGTATCGTTAACTTCATGAAATCTAATTCGTAACCACTCTAGCTTCACAGATTGCCCACGAGATTGAATTAATTCTGCAAATGCATCATTCACTGGCACTCCCAAAGTAGCATTCACCAGTTCAGCAGCCTCGTATCTTGTTAACTTAGGACATGACAAAGCCATGCCAGTGACTGGAATGCCAAGTATGGTCCGCACATCATCTAATGTGACAGTCATCTCACCATCTAGTGTGTGAAATGTATTTGTCTCTAGATGCCACCTTTCAACGAAGGCAAATATTGCCACTCTATTGCCATGCCGATATGTGTAATCAATAAGGACACTAAGACCAGACTGCTCAACCAAATGTCTCCACCTAACTTTTTGGACTGTTGGTGACATCCATGGCCACTCGGCAAGTTTTCGAAAACGATTCAAACATTTAAGAGGTCCCCGTTCCTGCATTGTACATAAAACATATAAATAATTTGAAGCATATAGTACATATGATTAGTTTATTGTTGAGAAATTCTCAAAATACCTTTTTCTTCCAAACAGCGGCAGCAACATGGTTACGAAAGCTAATTAGCAATGAAGGTTCCTCTGGAGTATTCGAAACTGGTTCTGTGTTGTCATTATCCACACCAACATTGTCCTCCATGAGGTCAGCCTCTATACCAATATCATTATCAACACGGTCATCCTCCACACCAATAACGTCGTCAGCATAATCATTATTCGCATCCACATGGCCATCCTCACCCACAGGGACATTCACTTCCACTGGTTCAGGTTCTGTTTGCCTAGCACGTCTTCTGTTGGATGCCGTTGGTCTCTTACGTGAGACACCACTAACCATTTCTGTGTAAAAAAAAAAATTAAACCCAATATCAGCAAAAACTCGAATATATTAAATGACTGATGTAAACAATATCAGCAAAGAAACTATAATTTCATACATAACATTCAATTTAAAGAAAAAAATTTGAATGTGCAAATGTATAAAAAAGGGAAAAAATTCAAATTATAATACAAGTATGCATTTGATAATTTTAATGTGCCTACATTGTTCTATTTCAAGTTTCTAGTTTGTCTTGTTTATTTTTAATTGTTAAATGTTAACATTGTATTATATCTTAAAGCTCACAATCTAATCTTCTTGGGATACCTTGACTTTGGATGTTACAGCTCATAAGAAAATTGACGTTCACAAATAGGTGTTGGTGAATATTCTGGTGATTTTGAAGGAGCCAAGTGATATTCCAGTTTAATGACATTGACCTACTTTCAAAATGGATTGATAGTAAAAACATGAAACTGCACTTCTTTACAAGGAAAAGACCATATTTTGTCTGTTCTTACTGTTGGACATGTATTTTGCTGAAATACTATGGCTGCTGAAAAAATGAAGATGAAAATTAGTGCCAGAGAAGGCCATAAATCATTTGTGATTATAGGATCAGTAAGTCTAATTAACCTTGTTGACTATTACTACCAGCCATCTCTAATTCTCTTTTGTTATGTTATGCGAAGAAGAACCCCAAAAAATAACCCAAGCTAGTGCTAAATTTCATAAATTTTGTATGACCTACATCACTTTGGGTTTTTCTTTGATTCTGTTCTAGATTTGTGGGTTTGAGGATTAAATTGTGGAAAATAATGAGACAATGAGAGGGCGAGTAGTGGCTGGAAAATGGAGAAGGTTAAAAAAAAAACTGCACATCCAAATACTGCTTTGCTAACAGATTTTGATAGATGAGTCTTGATTTCCCTATTTTACAACTATGGTGATTGTTTAAGCGGCATAATTACTTATATCCTAATATCATCACTGGTTCTAGAAGTAATAGTTTCTATCATTTAAATCAATCACGCACTGTAGTTTCTTCAGAAGCTTTGGTTCTCCTTACAACAAGGGTAGCTGTTGTGCCCACAACTGTGGCAGCAACTGCAACAGAGGCAGCTGTTTCTAGTAAAGTAGAAGATATGACAGATATTTTTCTCCTTGGTTCTTTTGACTTCACATAAGATACAGAATGATGATTTCTCTTAAATGTGCAATGGTTTTTAAGTTCAGAGTCTCTTACTGCTTCACAACATCAAAAGTAAGATCAGCTACAATAATTGTTGGCTAACAATCAAACCAGTGCTATTTTTCATGGTTGCAAAATATTACCAGACATGATCCAAAAAATACTTTATATTGAAAGTGTCTAAAGATCTTCTGCAAATTGGGATTTCCTACAACATATCTTATTATAAAATTACTTGAAGTTGATAGAGTAAGTTATATATGTGTCATCCTTGCTCTAAGCAGAGTTTTGAATTTATCGTAGACCCTAGTCACTGAGGAGCAAATACAAATCATTTAGCAACACATAGTCTAGACAGAATACAAATAAACTGGCAATTTCTGTTAAACCATAAGTAACTAGAAGAGAGGTAGAAACACGACAAGAAAATGAAATAAATGTATTATTCACACATGTAAAGGAAGCAAAGCTCCATTTCTGGGTCATCAAGAAACACAATGGTGATTGCATTCTGAACAATCAAATTCAATGATATAGATAGGAAAAGCTATACGCTTGCAATAGAAGATATTGAAATCATGCTTAAATTATACAATACAACACAAATACAAAAACAATCAATGAGTTTGCTTATGAAACTAAACTATGGCAAAATGTTCTAGAATATGTAGAATGCAAGCTGTTGAGCACCCAACTATCAGCATGCAAATATAATTACCAATATAGACAAGAGTTTGTTTTAGATTATAATTACCAATCGAAAATATATTTGGCATTTTTTTGCTGGCCATGTATCCTGTGATTATGCTTTCTAATTCAAACATTGACAGAATATTCCAGGAGGGGGGGAAATTAAGAAATCAACTACAGCCTCTATTATGTCTTTCTCGCTCTGAAAGTGCTGTGGCGGCACTATAACGACTATACATTACAGAAATTAAGCAACAGAACCTTCTTTTCTTAAGAAAGTATGAACATTAAGGGACAAAAATGACCACAATAGATACATATATTCAAAAAAAATTTTGATATAGATGATAGAGATACATATATAGATACATATATATGTCTGTCAATATAGAGAGAGAAAGAAGAGTTTTTTACTTACCTTGAGCGAATGAGAAGAATGAGTTTAATCGTCCACACCAATAACACAGAGCACAACGCCGTTCAAATCCCTCCCGCCGTCCGAAACACTCGCCTTCTCTACGTTAGACCCCTCGTCTTCCTCGTTGTTGCTTCTCTCTTTTCCCTCCAAAAGGTAAGTGGTGTAAAGAGATGAAAGGTTAATTTAGGGTTACGATTGGTAATATAATGAGGGCTGTAATGAGAGTTATATTTTTTTTTTGTGGTGTAATGAGATGGAGGGTGTAAGGAGGTAAAAGAGTGGTGTAAGTAGAATCACCCTAATTAGTTATTTTTTATTACAATAATGACCTTACATAAAATGACCAAAATGGCTACAACTAAATACACACCTTAATTTAATACACATCCAAACCCTAATCCTAGCCACCACTGCAAAGAATTCGAGCAATGGAGCATAAAAGACACTGTCTGAGCTCAAAATACCAAAAACAGGTTTTTTATTCAAGTACTCAAAAACAGAAGCAATCTGAACAAACCCACAAATTTCAATCAAAAAAACAAAAAACACAGAACACTGAACACAAATGAGTGAAAAAAAAAAAGAATTAGGTTTGGAAGCTCACAACAGCAACTGCAGTGATAGCAGAGGCAAGCAAGTAGACGAAGAAGGGGATCTGAAAGCTCTGCTGCGAAGCACTCTGAGAAGCTTGGTCTCGAGCCTAAGGAGGAGGCTCGTCCGAGTCTAGTCTAGCCTATGAAGGTATTGATTCTTCTTATTTCTCTTTGCTTGAGTCCTCGGTCACTGTAAAGATTGTCAATCTGCGAGAACGATATGAGTTTTTCCTTGTAGTATTCTGAGAAATTTTTGTTGTAGTGACGAGTGATGGTGTGGGACAACATGGGTTGAGTTTGATTGAACCATAGATTGATGAATTAGAGGCATAGAGAGAAGAGGATAAGGCTAATGCAACCATGGATTCGAGAGTGTGTGATTAGATTTAGAAGAGAAAAATTCAGAAACACATTCTCTACACAAGCCAGAATTACAAGTGGAGAAAAGAGGAAGGCCTTTCCAAAGGCATATTTATCTTTTTGTTGGGCAGATGAGAGGCGTTGGTCTTGGTTCACTACACTTCTCATTTTTGTCAAAGACAGAGGATAGCTAGACGAGTCTCGCTAGAGAGGGATGAGGGCAATGGGTGGTTCACTGGAGGGTGGCAGCAATTTGCGAGGTGGTGGGTCTCTGGAAGGGTTGACGGCGATGGCCATGGTTAGCATTATTAGAACAATCTTCTGTGTAAAATAAATAACTTGAAACAAATCAAACAAAATAAATAAATAAATAAATCACTTACATAATTTATTTTATCGAAATGTAAAAGTACAAAAAGATCAAGTGAAGTGTGTGACACTCTGTCCTTAAGACAGATTCGCCTCGTTATGATATTTACAGACAAATAGCGTCTATCTCCCATGATACAATGATCTTTACAAATTGTAGTAACACTCCAAATAGTTTGTCCGGCGAACAAAACCTGTGTTCTAAACTCTCTGAATTTTTCCTAAAATAATATGGTGTATAAATTATGCAAGAGAGCAAAACTGGACAGCAAGAAAAATAAATTTTTAGTCTATTTTTGGATGCCAAAGACTACTGGAAATGGCCTCTATTTATAGGCAAACAATCTATCCGAACAGGTGTGAATTTTGAATGAACAGATTGGTTTTGAATTCAATAGGTGCAATTTCAAATTTGAACAGATAACTGCAGCAATTGTGAACTTGTCCAGAAATTGCTGGGCAATTTTGAATTTGTCCAGGTTCCAACAGATCTGAAAAACTGTTTGGACAGTTTATTTTGTTTTGAAAAATTGGACTGGAAGAGGTAACAATGGACAGGAAATTAAATTCAAGTTTGACTTAATTTCGTTAAGAATTTTGGAAAAAAAAATCAAATAAATTTTCTCCAAAAAATTAATATTAGAACGTACCCGACCCACATCTGCGCATGGCATGATGGCAGCGGCGTGCGTACGCATGCAGTATCGGAGGAAAGAAGGGACCAGGGGGGTCATGTGCCCCCTTGGATTTTGGGATTTTTTTTTTTTTTTTTTTTCAAATATAAAAAAAATTAAAATAAAAAATTAAAAAAATACATTTTAAAAATTATTAGAACAATAATGGTTTTTTGATTGAAAATGGAAAGACTATTATAAACTATATTATCTATGAAATTTTTTTAATGCAACAGTGATATCATTATTATTGTTATACAAGTATAAGTAATCTCACTATAAAGATATAAAATTTATTGGATTGTTAGTTACATTTAACATGTGAAGTTCACTCTCTGTGTGTTTATTTACTATTAGTTTGTGATATCACATACTAATGATGACGTGGTATTTTACCATTATATTGAATTTTTAATCAAATTTTGTATAAAAAAATAATTTGTCATTATATAATTTATTTTAAGACTTATATCTATATTTTTTTATATTGTCCATGATACACTAATTATAAATAATATTATTTTTTTTATGTTTATCGAAATCAATCGTTAAATTTGCTTGAAATATTTTTGTAAATATTTTCGATATTATAATTAATAAGTGCCCCTTCTAATTTAATACCTTATTTTTTTGATGTTTCTCGAAATCAATCGTAAAAACTTGTTTGAAATATTTTTGTAAAAATTTTCAATATTATAATTAATAAGTGCCCCTTCTAATTTAATTTTTTATCTCGGCCACTGTGCGCATGTGTGATGGTTTGAGCCAATGTTTCATTTGTACATAACTCCTCTCATATACAAACTTGGGGTGCCCTTTAGAGCCCAACCCAAGTGTTACCACCTAGAACTTATATACATACATAAATTCTCTTAAGTTTTCAATGTGGAACAAGCCTTATAAGGAAATCCATATTTAATTCTTGAACTGTCCATTCCACGAACTCGAAAATGTTGTCAAGTTCCCAATCACTCATAAATAGTTTTGACGAACCGTCTTCACCGTGTGACTTGCCATGCGGCAAGGAACACGTCACCTCTTCGGACCTACCCCAAAAGACGTTTGGGACTCACTCAAATTTAGACTCAAAGTTGGACCAAGATAAGCCTTGAGACCAAATATATGTGTAAATAGAGACACCCTCATTTGATAGGTAATAAATTAAAAATTAACACTTATAATATCACATTATTATATGTCAAATTGTGATTTTTTTTTTTTTTTTTTTTACTCTCAGATATTTTCCAAGTTTTGGAAAACCAAGGGCCTGCCCTCAAGTACATCCAACACGTAAAAAGCTAAGAATTCTCTAATATACACAATGAAAATTTTAAATTATAATGCATTTCCAATAGTGGTAAAATATGAAAAATTTGTGACCTAATTTTTTTTCTTTTTTTAAGGATCCGTCATCCTTTTAGTTTAGTTCACCACACCACAAATTACGTTTTGATAATTCAAATTATTCACTTTGAAAAAAAATTCATATAAATCATCCAAAAAAAAAAATTGATTTAATAACCTATTTAGTTTATCACGAACGTCAAAAAAAAAATAAGTGATTTATTTTTAAAAATATACTTGTGATTTATTTTTTTAGAGACATATTCAATAAATTGCATGAATTATAATTATCAAATTAATTAAATATTTTTTTATAAATGATATACATTAAAAATCCAACAAAATGTATAATTTGAATAATTGAAATAAGACACTTGTGATAAATCCTAGTCCTGAATAATAGTTTTCAATTTAAAATATAAACTAAAGAGAAGCTAATTCTATTTTTTATTCTATTTTATTTTATTGAGATCCATGTCCAAGCCCAGTTACATTTGAGAACATAGGTTACAAATTATAGATATAATATAATATAATATTTGAGAACATAGTTACAAATTATAAATATAGAAATATTTTGTGAGGAGTGAGACACATGGATATACATTTGGCACATGTACTGTGTATCTGTGGGCGCTGTATGATTGCTGCGAAAAGATGGCCCCTTACATGAGAAATCGATGAGCATCCTTGTTCCACCAA